AGCTTCCTACTTCATTAACAAAGCCACTGCGGACGGTGCCTTTTTATTCCCTTGTGATATTAGCTTATAGAATAACTCGCTGCAAGAGCTAATTCTCCACTTCTTTAATTCATCAATGTCCGTATCCTGTCTGCCTTCAGATACTTTGCAATTCAGTGTCATTTAAGAACTATTTCTCAGAGACCCTCGGCCAAGGTTTCCACTGTGTCTCAATATAACTTTCAGCTTATTTGCAAGAAGAAAGCACAGATACATTAGTGACTACTTATAATATAAAATATACCGATGATCCACCGTTTCATAACTTTCCCTTTGAAATTGTCTTGAATGCCAAGTTTGGTTCCCTCGGTGGGGAAATTGGCCTCCTTTCTGACCCCAATTGAGTGAATCCGGTGCAATCATTTACCTCACTTAGAGCTTCGGCTTTGCACGACTTTAGACTAATGACAGGACATAGCAATGACCTTCGTGGACGCGCTTTTCCAGCGTGGCTCTTCCCCATTCTCTGAAGGAATTCCAGACGCGGCGTGGGAGAGCAGCGGTGCTATTATTAGGCTGAGCCTATAACTTCCCAGGCCGCGCTCTGCACTCATTCCAGTGTTTATGTTCTGGTATGTGTGTTTCCATTGGAATCTCACCCCGTATAGCGGTGTCTGTCCGTTTCCGCCAGCATGCTTTCCCACCAGCACCGCCTCCGCGTCTGCTCTGAAGGACAGCAAGCTAAGCGTCATTGCATTTGATAAGGATGAGGCCGAGGGTGAATGAAGTCCCTCGTTAATTTAGCACACGCTGTGGATTCCTGTGCGACCATAGGGACCGCACCGATGAACCAGGCACAGCCCCTCCTGGGGTGGACAGCCTACCTTTCGTCTCCCCGCCTGAAGCTTAATGCCAACAGCCTGTACCTGCCTTTCTCTACCCGCATTTAGGCCTGTCGCACCTCCCAGAGTCCCTTGTGACTACTGGACGTGCGTGGTGTACTTTGTGCAAAGGGAAAACCATTCAAAAGATGAAGGAGTTTTTTGCAGTGTGATTGAGGCCAGATGGCTTTTTCTTCTTTTTTTTAATCATCACCCGAGGATATTTTCCTTTTAATTTTTAGAGAGAGTGGAAGAGAGAGGGAAAGACAGAGAGAAACATTGATGCGAGTGAGAGAAACACATCGATTGGTTGCCTCCTGCAGGAGGAGACCAGACCAGGGCTGGGCTAGGGAGGAGCCTGCAACCGAGGTATGTGCCCTGGACTGGAATCGAACCTGGGACCCTATAAGTCTGCAGGCTGACGCTCTCACCACTGAACCACACCAGCCAGGGCCAGATGCTTTTTTACATATTAAAAAAAGGAAGAAAGGATAAGATTGAAATTCGTGTGAACCCCTGAGACAGTAGAGCAGGATGCTGAGGAAACGTGTAAGCCATCGTCACCCGGGAAGTGAAGGCAATGTTGGGAAGGTCGTGTGGGGGGCGGTGGTTTTACAGGACAAGTTTCAGAGCCTCGATGCTGGGCCTGGGGTGGCTCCGAAGGATGCGGCAGTGCGAAGGGAGGGGCAAGCTGCATGCAGGTGCAGAGCCGCCCCGTGGCCCGGATATAACTAAGGCTGTCGAAGTCCGTTAATATTTTGAATTTCCTTTATTTCTGAACATGTTGTTTGAGTCTATATTTTTTATTTTTGGTTCTCATACACATTTGCATCTCAAAAAGACTTAGATTTATCTTTGTCAAGAATGATACGAACTTACGTGATTTGATGCCTCTTCCAACAATGAGATCGGCGTGCAGAGCAGCAAGGAAAGCTGACGATTAGAGTTCTCTAACCTTATCCATCGGGAGAATCAAATCAGTGTCTGACCAGGTCAGTCGTTAAAGCGAATTTCCTTTTCCTTCCTAGGACCCTCGCTTCAACGCAGAGGTTGACCAGATCACCGGCTACCGGACACAGAGCATCCTCTGTATGCCAATTAAGAACCACCGCGAAGAGGTGAGCAGGTTCCGTTTTATAAAAGGTCATTTGAAAAGTTTTCTTTTTGAAGAAAACGACTTGCTTTGCATACGTGTGAGCTACTCCTACAGTGACAAGGGAACGCCAAAGCATGTACCTGTTCCACTTGATATTTTCAATTTAGAGCTTAGTTATAGGATTGAATCCTGACGGGGATTTCACTGGGACGTAGGAATAAATCGCAGACGTGTCATGTCCTTCCCCTACCATCCCCCTCATGACTTTATTCTGTCCGTGATATATCACTGTGGTCATGGTTGTAATCAGATTATTTCACGTTATATTTTAAGTGGCTGAATAGGGTTCCTTTCATACGTGGTTATCTAACTGCAGTGATCATCAGAAAATGTGAATCTGCAATAATTTTCTAATTGTCGCAAGTCTCCAAATATTTTCCCAATGTGTTTATTGAAAAAAATCCACGTGTGAGTGTACCTGCATGGCTCGAACCCGTGTTGTCCAAGAAGGGGAATTGCACCCTGGCCAGTTTGCTCAGTGGTTAGAGTGCCAGCCCTTAGACCGTGTGCCTCCTTGCTTGCAGGCTCGGTCCCGCGCATGTGGGAGGGGACCGATTGATGTGCCTCTCTCACATCCATGTTTCTCTCCCCCCCGCCCCCGCTGTCCCCTCCCCTT